GAAAATGGTGCCTATTTGGTGGAGCTTTTATACACATAAAGCATTTATTTAGCACAGTGCCTAGCACAGGTGAACAATCAGGGTTGTAGTCTCCATTGTTATTATCAATAACTTTAAGTGCCCTGTAGGAAAATAATCGTGAAATTACATGGAAAAACAGATGAAAAAAAAAAAAAAAGCCCTCATGTAAGCTAATAAATACAGTTTCTTCTGTGGAGAAATGAACCACTTTCATTGTATCCCATAAGTGCATCCATTTCATTGAATTAACAGGAAGTCTTTACTTTTTTTTTATTTCTTTCTTGACCAATGGGTAAATGAGTTGAGAGTTGTTTAGTTTCCATTAGTTGATAGGCTTTCTCTACTTTGTGTTGCTGTTGAACTCCAATTTTAAACCATGGTGATCTAATGAGAAAGCAAGTCTTAACAGACCAAGTATATGGTCGGTTTTGGAGAAGGTTCCATGAGGTGCTGAGAAGAAGGTATATTCTCTTATGTTTAGGTGAAATGTTCTTGTTTTCCCTATCTGTGGTTATTCAGAGTTTTGCTGGGTCTGCCTTGGCATCCATGATACAAGAGTTCTGTTTAGGTTCTTCTGGTTTTTAGAGTAGCCATTGAGAAGTCAGGTGTGATTCTAATATATGCTTTTATATGTTACTTGGCCTTTTCCCTTTGCTGCTTTTAATATTCTTTATGTTTAGTGTTTTTTATTATTGTGAGGGTGAGGGGACTTTTTTTTCCTGGGCCAGGCTTTTTTTTTTTTTTTTTTAACTTTTGTGGGCATCTCCTTCTTTAGGTTAGGGAAATATTTCTGTGCCTTTGAGCTGGGATTCTTCTTCTATTCCTGTTAGTCTTAGGTTTGGTCTTTTCACAGTGTCTCAGATGTCCTGGATGTTTTGTGTCAGGAACTTTTTAGCGTTAACACTTTCTTTGACCAATGAATCCATTTCTTGTACTGTGTCATCAACCCCTGAGATTCTCTCTTCCATCTCTTGTACCCGGTACCCTGTTGGTGATGCTTGCCTCTGTAGTTCCGTTCACTTACCCAGGGCTTCCATTTCCAGAGTCCCCTCGATTTTGTGTTTACTGTTTCTGTTTCCACTTTCAGGTCTTGAACAGTTTTATTCGTTTTCATCAACTGTTTGTGTTTCTTGGTTTTCTTGACATTATTTAAGAGATTTATTGGTTTCCTCTAATTTTTTGTTTTTTTACTCAATTTCTTTAAGGATTTTTTTTTTCATACCCTCTTTAAGCAGCTCTGTCATCTTCATAAAGTTACTTTTAAGGTTGTTTTGTTGTGCTTCAGCTGCATTAGAATGTTTAGGTCTTACTTTGGTAGGATTGCTGGGTTCTGGTGGTGACATACTGCCCTCTCTTTTACTGTGTTCTTACCCTGGCATTTAGGTTTGGGACGATTGTAGGTCTAGATGTTGATTCCCCTGTTTGTCTTTGATGGATGAGTGTTTTGTTCCTTGGTTCGTTTCCTCTCTGGTCTTGTGGCCCAAGTGGTCAAGGGTTCTTGTCATCGGTTTCAGTAGGTTGTCTCCGCTGGGGATAGGGGCCTTGGTTCCCTTGGTCTGGTCTGGCCTCTGGTAAGAGAAGTCTATTTGGGTCTCTGGATCTGGCCTGGCCTCTCTAGTACAGCCTGAATTGTTTTCTGGGTTACCTAGGATGAGTCTGGCCCCCGGCAGAGCTTCTGGGGCTGTCCTTTTGACTGGTGTGGACTGTGTTTGGGCCTATGACATCTGCAGGAGTTCTGGGGAAGGGTGGCTTTGGGGAGAGGATGGTGAGGTGGGAGGGGTTGGGGAAGCAGAACCCTGGGGTTGGGGACAGTCCAGGTGGGAGGCACCCCCTGCCAACTGAGGAGGGAGGGCTGCACCAGAGCAGTGGGGTTCCTCTGGGCTTGGAGGCAGGGCCCAGGGGCAGGGCCAGGGACAAAGGGGATAGAAAGCCTTGGCCTGGGACGGAGGGAGGGACACAGCTCTGCTGGCAGGCGGGTCACCTACAGTTATGGATTGTGCATCCTGGGCTTGCTTGGCAGAGGTTGAGGGGGCGGCTTTGGGGCCAGGGACTTGCTGGGCTTGGAGAAGGGTCACCAGGAGTGGAACCCAGGGAGGCGCAGTTCTATTGGCAGTCGGGTCCCTCACCCTTTCTGACTGGGATGGTGCGTCCTTCAGTGGCTGAAGTCAGCTGAGGTTGGGGTCAGGGCCCAGCAGCGGAGGGTCAGGGAGGAGATGAGTTGACATTGGAACAAAATCTCTCCCTAGACATTTCTCATTCATCCTTTATTATACATAAAGACTCCTTTATCAGTAGTTTATTATATGATAGTAGGTAGTTTCTTCAAGAGAATCTAAGTAAAGGTTGCATAAAATATATAGATGTCCAGTTTCCATGCTACACAGGGTCTCTCTGTGTAGCACTGGCTGTCCTGGAACTTGCTCTATAGACCAGGCTGCTTTGGACTCACACAGATCCGCCTGCCTCTGCTTTCTGAATACTGAGACTGAGAGTTTCATGCCTTTGGCATTTTACTGAAGAAGGTCTTGAGCACACATTTCATTAAGCTTTGGAATAACTTAATCTTTTCAATTTCATGTTCATTTGTGTTTGCATTACTCTAAGACATATTTAGTTAAATGAAATTTTATTTTTATAGTTCATAATTTTACTTCAATAGTTCTTAATTTCTAGTTCTCTTTTGAGTCCTCAAACTGTGTGTTGTTTCTGTAGTTCTCATTAATGTTCAAAGGTTGATAGAGTTGGGTGTGTAAACTCTTAAAGCTTAACATAAAATTAAGAGGTAGAAGCTATTTACTTTTAAGACTTTCCTTTCAGAGTATCATTTTAGAATCATTTGGCAGTATTAGCAACGTTATTCTTACACGAATATGTGCTAATGAAGGGAACGAAAGATCCTCTTTAAAATCATGTTGCTAAATGCATGATAGAGCCCTTATGTAACGTCTTGAGGCTTCAGGCCAGTTAGTTAATCCAGAAGAGATTTGGGCAAGGAGAACATGACTGTGGGCATCTCTCCCATGTGAGCAGAACACAGAAATGCTGTTTTTATCAGTTTCCTACTCAGGACACTTCTGTTCTTATGGGGAAAATGGATATTAAGACAGCGCAGTTCCCACGGGATGTGTGCTGAGCTGAGCCAGTGGAGTGTACCAGGCTTTTTCTTTGGGGCCAACAACCAGCTCCCAGATCCCGACACTGGTTTTGAATGCGAGGTCTAGCTTAGGTCCTTCTTGCTAGCTCATATAACTCTATGTGCCTTTCTGTGTTATGTCCTGTTTGCTTCATCTGCCTTTCCCGTTTTCTTAGGGGCGGGGGGGGGGGGGGGGCTCGCTTCCTCCCGCACTGCTGTGCGTCTTGCTTTCACTGCTCCTCTGTGTCTGCCTGGCTTCTGGCTCCAGGCCTCTCCCTTGTTCTCCCCCCCCCCCCCCCCAGGCCTCTTGCTCCTCCTATCCTTTCTTTCTCCTTCTATTTATTCTCTCTGTCTGCTAGCCCTGCCTCGCTATTGGCTGTTCAGCTCTTTATCAGACCAGTCAGGTGCCTTGGGCAGTCATAGCGAAACAGATGCAAAACGTCTTCTCATAATCAAACCAAAGCGGCATAGACAAAAGTAACACACCTTTGCACAGTTAAAGTAATATTCTGCAGTGTAAACAAATGCAACACACCTTTGCCTAGTTAAAATACTATTCCACAACAAGTAGAGTGTTGGATTTGTTATGTATGAATTAAGCTTTTGATAATAGCCACTGTGTTTTCCAAAAAGGCCTGGGAATTTGCCAGCTAGCATCCCCCCCCCCCCCCCTTCCCGGTAGACCTCAGGATGGCAGTGAGTTTCTGTTTCTTCCAGTCGTTATCTGAATAGACCAGTTTGGTGCAGTCATGTTGAGGTGTCTAGCTCACCTTTTATCACCAATATTGAACATGACAGTTCTCTTAAAGAATCCTGTGTCAAAGTGGTCAATTCTGTGTTAACTTGAGGGACACATTCCCTTTGAGGACTGCCCCTATCTCTTTATTTGTGATCATATCTTAGTGTTCCAAGTACAAAAATAACTGTGTAAGAAAAACAGGCATTCCAAAGTCAAAAGTAAAGGACATCTCAATATCCGTGTGACTGCCCCTTAGTGTGTCCACTGATAATGGGCTATCCTTACGCCTGCTTTGTGATTTGAGTTGTTGGAAGTTCTTGCTCAAAGGACACAAACAAAGTCCATTTGGGTTGATGTAGTTCTCATGCCCAGTTCATTTGTGTAGAGGACAGGCTACTGGAAGCACGTAAGTCATAAAGTCACAGCAGCCAGGACTGTTGCAAAGGGGGACTGTTGCAAAGACTCAGGCAAAGAGCACTGGCCTGTGGGGTGCAGAGGGGGCAGCTGCACTTGAGGCAAAGCAAGGGTAAGGCACAGTGGCCGGTGGCCTGGCTGTGGGTGGAATGTGGTCCCAGAGACTAAAGTGCAATGTAAAAGGCGAGATCGCAGGATGGAAATGAAACAGAGGACAGTCTGTCATTTTTATGGTGTCTTGGGACTTGGTAATGAACAAGAGCCCTGTTACTAGAAGTTAAGGCACATTGCATGGTTCTTTAGAAGGCAGAGGCTTTGATGGCAACCATCAGAGGGAGGTCTTCACTGAGAGGAAACATAGATGGACACCAGCCACACCTGGTCCTGGGAACAATCTTAACTCCTGGTACTGATTTCCCTTGGGATGTGCTCGTTTCCCACTAGGAAATCCTACAGAAGTTTCTATGGTCTGTGTGTCTCCAGGCAGCTCCCTGCCTTAACCTCACAGGCCCGCCCTCCCCCCGAGAACCTCTTGTACAGTGAGCAGCGCTCAGTCTGCCCTTACGGTGTACATGTGCTTTATCGAGCGTGGGATGTGTACCGTCTGGATGCTGGAGTCTAAGTGAGAGACTGTGTTAGAACTTTAAAGTCATGTTCATGTAATAAGTGTTTTTTTTTTTATTTTAATTTCAGATTTCACCAGATGTTGCAAGGACTCTGGAATCCTTATGGTAGTAAAATGCCGGAAAGAAAATTCTGCATTGAAAGACTGTTTAACTGCTTAGTAAGTAGTCAACTCAGGCTGTAGGATTGTACAGCAAGTACTTTTACTTGCTGAACCATCTTGACAGCACTGATCAATTCTTTTTAAAACAGCATTTTAATATCATAGTGATGAATATCTCACTGTTGTTACTCACTCTTCTGCTGTTGGCTTTGAGATAGCTGTGGGCATGTAGTTCTAGCTGGCTTGAGGTTGGCTTTGAGATAGCTGTGGGCATGTAGTTCTAGCTGGCTTGAGGTTGGCCCGACCCTTTTGCCGCTGCCTTCTGGGGACTGGGATTATACTTGGGAGCTGCCAGGCTCAGCTCCGTTCTGTAATTCTTGAAATGAGAGTGCAGAGTTCATCATGGTGGTGCACGCCTTTACTCTCAGCACTCAGGAGGCAGTGTCTGGAGATCTGTGAGTTCAAGGCCTGCCTGCTCTACAGAGTAAGTTCCAGGACAGCCAGGGCTACATAGCAAGACCCTGTCTGGGGGGGGGGGGTGGAGAGGGAGGGAGAGAGAGAGAGTTCATTGAATGTAGGTGTTTTTTTTTTTCCTTTTTAAAAAAATTATTTTATGTATAGGAGTGCTCTGCATGTACAACTTTATGCCTGAAAGGGCATCACTCCCACTACAGATGGCTGTGAGTAAACGTGTGGTTGCTGGGAATTGAACTCAGGACCTCTGGAAGAGCAGCCAGTGCTCTTAATGTCTGAGCCGTCTCTACAGCCCCCTTTGTTTTCATCTCTGCCGTTATGTGTTTATTATATACATTGTTGACAAATAATACCCCAAGATATTTTAGTAAGTTGTTAATTGATAGTTGTGAGATTTTAATTTTGGCAAGCAGTTTTTCAGATGCAGCCGTTGAAACATAAATGTGAGTGTGGTGTGCTATTTTTTAGGAGAGTAAATTAAAAAGTGACGCTTTTCTGAACCCCTCATGTATCTTTAAGAACAGGCTGTGTCTATGTTTTGTCACCAGCATTTAGAATCCCACAGCTGGGAGGGACAAGCTCATTCAAACCTCCAAGGAGACAACCCCCAATGGTTGGCATGCTCTTCTCTGAGGCAGGAGTCACAGCTGTGGTGGTTGCTGGCCAGGACTGCACAAGCCCTTCACTGTGGAGGCGTGGCTTCTTCCGGTCCTGCTCCCTAGTTTCTCTTCCTCCTAAACAGATGTTTTTGTAGGTCTTCGAGACCCCAAACAGACCACCAAGGAGCCGACTCTGATGCAAAAGCAAAGGTTTCTTTAATAATAACAACAAGTTAACTGTATTACTTCTGTCCGTGTCGGTGTGACACAGAGGGTGGAGCAAGAAAGACCTGGAGTGACCGAGGGGCAGGGAATTTATTGGGGTGGAGCAATGGGGGGGAGTGTCTGGGGTCCACAACAGTCTCAGGATTGGTGCACTTCTGGGTTTTGTGTTAATTGGTCAACTGGTTGCTATGGCCTATAGGCCTTCCCAGGGCAATTGCTATGCCCAGTATGTCACTGAAAAGCACATGAGAGCCCACCAGCTAACGTCTGATTGGTTCCTTGTATCTGACCTCCTACTGACTGGGAGTCAGGCAAGGTCAGGAAGCTCAGCACATGCTGCTGATTCAGGGGCGTACATTCTGCTGGGTCTTTTCTGCAGCCTGTCATGGCTGCTAAAGCAGTGGGCTGAGGGAGGTCCCTTCAGTGGCAACACAAGTATTTTATAGAAATGCAGTAAAATAAAGCAAAATTAAAGCAGCAAACACATTTAAAAGAAATAGAAATGAGCTTAGCTCAAGAGAATCCACAGGTTTGTCCTTGGTCCAGACTCTGGAGTGAAAGATGAATGAAAAACGAGGCCATGGCATTCCTAGGTGTAGTTCAGGGCGGTGGGGGAGTGGGACACATGGATGCGGCTCAAGTAGGGTCTGCCCTGGCTGGAGTCCTGAGTGCAACAGAACACACCTGCTGAACAGACCTTTTGGTCTGAGATGGTCGCCTATTTCCTGCAAGATCAAAACATTTGCTACACTGAGAGGGTGGAGGGATCTGCCCAGAGGTCGACAGACCACAGGAGGCTGGCACGGCGCAGCCTTCACAGCACCTAACCACACTCTCTGTGAAGGTGGACAGTAAGCAAATCCCTTATCCTTAGTTCTGCAAGGGGTGCATAGCTTTGCCTTGCTGCTTACTCCCAGCAAAGAACATTGTTCTCTGCCTCCTGGAACTACCTTGATCCACAGAGACACAACTGTAAAAGATAACTCTGCTGTCACTGTTCATCACTGATGACTAAAGTTGTGACCCCAGATGTGCAAGAGGAAAGAAACACATGTCCAAAACCCAAAATGGTTGGACTTTAGAGATTTATTAACTATACAAGCTTGGCCTTTAATTTAGGCTTGTCCCCCAATTAGGTCTTAGAACCTAATTAACTTGTTTCTATTAATCAGTGTTTTGCCATGTTGCTTTTTTACTTGTCTTTTATTCTGTATGTCCGACTACCTCCATGTCTGACTGGGGTCTCCTTATAGACCTAGATTCATTCCAGGTTTCTCTCTCTGCCTAGGTGCCTTGCTTAAGGCGTCTGCCTAGCTATTGATCATTCGGCTTTTTATTAAAACAATCACAGTGGCACATCTTCATGCAGTGTAAACAAATATATCCCAACAGGCTACACATTTCCTTACTCCTCAATCTTGTTTCCCTTAAGCTATTTCTTAGAAGTTTGTTTCTTTGGGTTCTGTTAAGAATCTTAAATCTAAGTGTAATTTATACCCATGGATCGAATCACCACAGATCTCATTGTTTTGTTTTCTCTCATGCCCTAATTGGAACTTTTTTGTTGTTGCTCAGACGGTTGTGTTGCTTGAATTATAGTTTTCTATAGTCTGGAGTCATTACCTAACTAACTCTAGTTATTTACCAAATCGTCCCCCCTCCCCCCATTGCATCCCTACATCTTTTCCTTTGGGCTAGCAGAGGCCCACATCATTTCTTGAATGAATTTTAGTGATCCAGCTTTAAAAACCTTGGTGTCCCTTTCAGCCAGCCTGCCACACACTGCCAATCATTCAGGATTCTTCAGTTTGCAGTTAGTCCTGTCTTACTGCTTTTGGGATAGATTGTTAGAGTTTGGCGTAAGTGGTCCATCATAACTAGGTTCCTGTGCACTCTGCTTCTTGGGTTCTTTCTGCTGTGAGCACAATCCACTTTGTTTGGTTCAAGTTACCAGCCCACTTGAAGTGTCTTGCGTGTCTCCCTGTCCCCTCATATGTGCCTTTCTACATGCCCTTTTGTTGGCCTTGCAGAGCTCAAGCGTGTTCTCACGATCCCTCCTCTTCCTCATGTTTCCCTATGTTCATCTTTGTACTTTCTGTATTTGTCCTAGTCCAGCCCTTGTCTGTTAAGCCATGAGCTCCTGGAACGTAACGTCATTTGTTGTTCTATGATAACACTGAACTTAAGACTTTTATCTCACTATATACTTTATTAATTAGAAACTTTTAAAAATCTTTTACTTGTTCATTAATGTTTATTGTGCCTTGGTAACTATTCCTGAAAGTGAACTTCTCAAGATTGAATCTCATGAATATCTGAATGTTATTGAAACTTATATTGCATTTATTTTAAAATATTTTAATTTATTCCTTGTAGTTATAATGATCCAGCCTTCTATGAAGAATGCAAACTGGAATATCTCAAGGAAAGGGAAGAATTCAGAAAAACCGGAGTTCCTACCAAGAAGAGGCTACAAAAACTTCCTACAAGCATGTAGGCAAATAGTGAGTCAGGAAGCCACATCTTATGGAAGCCACTTGTAATGTGTCAGAAATGATGGACTGAAACAATGTTTGCTCACCCTAATCATGAAAATACTGATTCTTTTTTATGAAATAAAAATCTACTTCAGAGTTCTAGTTTATTAAATATGGGATAAGAGGAAAACTAAAAGGGATGTTTTCCTGGTATTTTTTTTTTTTTTTCTTTTCTTTTAAAACCATGTTCTTCTACAACTCTGACTGACTGCAATCACAGTGTATGGTACTTTCTCCTGATTATGTAGTCTGATGGCTAGTGTAGGATGAAAGTACTAGACTGCACAGCACAACAGCGGTGGGCCAGAGCCCTTCTTTGTACGAAGTCTCAGTGACTGGGACAGCTCGCTCACACAGCACTGCCAGAATGTAGGCATGTAGGCAGGGCTGGGCTTCACATGGCCCTATTTGAAAAGCATCGATGAGGTTAGTGGATTAATTTTCTGAAACTTTTGATGGAAAAGTTTCTACAATATGTTTCTTGATCTTTTCAACTTTGTATAATCTTTGATTTAAGAAGTTGTCTTGTTAAGTGTGAACATCTGTTTTGTAACATTGGGGATTCACGAGGTGCTGTGAAGTTTCTGTTCCAGTGTGTTAATTTGTGCGAGGCTGGGCTTTAATTTTTTTTTTTTTTTTTAAGTTATTTTCTTAAACAGGAAGATAAGATTTAGCTTTGGCTCTAATCCCATGAAAATTTTTTTCTCATTCAAATAGAATGAGCCATGAATGCATGTGAAGTTTCATACAGTACTCACCAAAGAAGTTTTTTACTTGTTTGAAAGTCAAAGAATCCATTCTCACAGACCACAGATGAACAGAAGGTGGCGTGGCCAGATGCCAAAGCAGAGCAAATCCAGGAAGTCTAGAGGGACTGCACTGCAGCATGGGGAGAGGCAGACAGCTTGTTGGCACTGGTGCATTTCGTAAGGCACAGGGCTACAGTTCTTGTTTTCAGTGACTCAAAGAAAAGGTAGAGCGTTTACTGTTAGACACAGTCTCTTGCGTGTCACGAACTGTGTTCACACTCACTTCTTGTACCTGCTGCAGATGTTATCTTTGGCCCATTGGGTTTCAACTGTTGCACACTCATAGTGCAGGTTTATTCTTGACCTATATATACATTCAGTCTTATTTTGGCCTCAGCTCAATACAAGAACCTCTAGAGGTGTAAGTTTTTGTTCCCCCTTAGGCCAATAATGGATCACAAGGAAGGGACAGGTGACTGTTAATTATATTCTTTGTATTATTGAGTTACAAGTGTGCTTAAAATCCTTACCATAAGAAACCCAGCTATTACAGAAAATTTCAAGGGAAATTCTTTGGAGTGTTAGCTAATATGAAAAGGACCAACAAAATTGTCAATTTTAATGAATCACAAAATACAGATGCCACCTCTTCAACCACAGGTTTGACTAAGTGTATACTTAAACATTTTATGACTAGATAAAAATATTTTGGAGTTTATCTTTAGTTAAGGGGTCTTACATGGTTGTTAACATGTTAACTATTAGAAACATCAAACTGAAATTGTTACTACTGGGTAGAGGAAATGTGTTTGAGAAATAAAATATCAGACTTTGGAAATACACATAGGCAAGGACGAAATACACATAGGCAAGGACGAAATACACATAGGCAAGGACAATATTTCACATCCAATTAAATTTTAAAAACAAAAATAATTTTAATTAAAACAATTTCTTGGAATTGTTCAAAACATTATAAGACTCTCTTTACAAAGGAAAGCTTCTAATCTTGGTTTACAAAAAGGCAAACCAGTAAGCTACATTAGACACGAGATGATAGATATCCTCCGCAGCCACATGAGAAATGTCTCTGCTTTCTTATTACACAGGTAGTTAGTTCCTTCAGCTAAAGCCTGGAATCTATTTGTTTTATGCATATTGGATCCTGTTGTATTACTTGGCAGGAGGCTGTACTCCCTTGAGTACAGAACACATTCCAGCATCTGACATCAATTCCATTAATCATGGGTAGGCATGAATGAGTGAATAATACCAATACAAAAATAACTGGTGAAGAGTGAACACTGTTGGGCTATGTATGATATTCAGCTATATGAGGTTGGTCTGAGATCCTTTAAATTCAGGATATATGAAATGCCATTTAGATAAGGATAAAGTCTTACCTCAAACAGGTAATACATAATTGCTAATACTCTTAATGCTTCAACCCTGAAGGAATTATAGATGAATTTTCACATGAAGCCATCTTTATTATTTCTTATTTATAAGTGAGTGGCCAGTCAGAATGAATTTGGAGACATTTCATAATTACACTGCACAAAATTTAGTTCTAGATGCAGTTAATTAAAAATCACTTTATCAGATGTTATAACCTAACAATACATAAGCTGTGCAAAACAGCTGTCCTGCTGAAAATGACCACATAACGACACACAAGACGGACTCATGAATCACCGGAGAGACTGCCCCGTGACATGCCCTTTCTACTTTTAACTGGATGTTGTATACGTTTATATAGTTTATTCATATACCATGTCATTTTTAGCTATTTAGGATTTGAATATATTGGGGAAAAGTTGGCTCCAATGGTCAAGTATTAGCATTCAAATTGCATTTTAAAATTGTATATACATGTTACTTAGAAATGATTTTAAATCTTGAAACACACTAGCATAGAGACATAATAACCTACTTTTATTCCATTATATTTCAGATCTTTATGTATGAGGAAGTCACAGAAGCACATCCTATTCACATTGCCACTTGCTTCTTGATACAATCTGAAGCAGCAGACATGGTTTTTTCATATTAATAAAGGCTGCTTTTTATTTAATGAATAGGTATTTAGGCAGGACATATACTTTAGAAAACCATGTCTAAAATTTCCATTCTTAAAACCAAGAAGCAAAAACTTTGTTACCAAAGGTGTGACTGGAGGTTCTCACGCTGAACTGCAACTACACAATGTTGTACAAAATGTACATATTGGAGAACTTTGCAAGATTTTAATCAAAGTCTGCTTCAGTCTGAATAATCTCTGGGAGAACCAGTTCGGGTTAAGTGTCCTCCTGTTCCAATCGTGAGTCCCATCAAATTAACTTTTGTAAAGGCAGTTCTGATTATGCTGATCCAAGTAATGCAGCGGCGGCAGGTTGGATAAAGGTAAGGTTTTGTTTTTATTTTCGCCAAATGCTGTCTCACTTGATTTAGGAGGGCTTGGGAACACCCAAGAATTATCTTCCAGAGAGTTTCGGCCGTAAGAGTTGTGCTCCTGAGAGTCGGTACCATCATTAGGGACCAGTCTCTCGTTATCTGTCCATGACTGAAGAACTGCTTTGTCTGACAAAACCTTTACGTCTCCTGGTAAAGGAGAGGATGGAGCATAACAAGGTGCTTTGCCATTTGGTGACAAAGGGGGATGTCTTTTGTATGTTGCAGTGAAATTTGTCAAATGCAATTTCGCGCAGTCTCTCCCAAGGTCTTCAACACATCCTGCTGGGGTGCAGGCTAAAAAGAAAGCATAGGCTAAGTGTCAATTCTCTAACATTGTGACTGTAAACATGTCATACACCAACTTTGCAACTGACACTAAAATGATCATTTCCAATTCAGTATGGCCACTGGGAAACTGATTTGGAGACACTTCACAGGCTAGAATTCTCATAGAGTCCATACTTACTGACAGGGACTTAAGCTCACTCATCACTCATCAACTGCTTCCTCTGCAGAACGGACCTGAGGTAGGGATGGGACCCCTTCCCTGCTGTCCCCTCCCGAGTCTACACGGTGTAAAGAGGTGTCATCTCTTTACAAGGTGAACACAAGTACAACTCTTGGCCTTAGTGTGGCTAGTGAGGGTTTTGGACAATACTGGGTTAGTGGGGACCTAGAAAGTCTAAGAGTTAGTAGATTTAAAATGTATTCTTTTGTTTGTTCAAACATTTCCATGGAAGATGGTCCAAGTGTAATTTATTTTTATAAATTCTTAAGAATCAATGAAATCTTAACATATATTCAAAGGCTTTTTTGGATAAAGTAGTTGAAGTAGAAGCTGTAAGTTCAGTTTCTTATAATAAATATAACAGTAAATATGTAATTCTGCTTTAGCCAACAAGGAAGTCAATTAAAAAAGGAAATAAAAAGGTCTTTCACACATATAATGGCATAGGAAAGGCTGCTACGAGGTGATTATTTAGCTGCCCCGTGTCTAGCATACAGGCAACAGTAACATCGTTTATTCTTCTCATTTAATGTGCCACAGCTGAAAGCTACATTTCATTCTCAACCTAGGGATGACCAAAGGCTTGGCTCCGTGCAGCCTATATTTTATTTTTATGTGTGTATGTTTGTGAGCATGAGGATAGAACTGCACAGACATGAGCATGAATGTCAGAGGACAACACTCTGGGGTTGGTCCTTTGCTTCCACTGCGAGTCCCAGGTGAATACAGGCCCTCTATTGTAGGTGAGCCCTTCCACCTGCTCGGCCAACTCACGCAATTTTTTGAAGAAACAACTTGAAACATTTGGGTGGGGGAGTAGGAAGGATGGATAGTGATGGGCAGGCCAAGGGCACTTAACACAGCGAGCTTTAGGGACTGGTGACTGTTGGTCACTTGGACTTAACGCTGTGCAAGGAAATGTTCTAGAGACTGATAGTGCAAAGGCATCAAAGGACTGCGGTCTCACTCAGCCAATTAAGAAGGAAGACAGGAGGGAAGGAGCTCTTCTTTATTATGCTTTGGAACAAGACAGTTCGTTCCACAACAGCTTTAAGGAGGAGTCTTATTTCTGCCGTCCACCTATGGTATCCTCGTAAGTAAGCTTAACCACTGGAAAAACTAGGGCAAGGTGGACCATAAACGAAGCTATGTTTGCTTAACATCAAATTAATTTGTCTGGTTCTTAAGTATCCAGCCCTGCAGAAATAAGAAGCAACTTTGAATTCCATTCCCCCCCCCCAATGTGAAACATTTTCCCCTACAAACACTCCTGAGAATAGTTATAAAACAATTTTTCTTGTTTTCCCTTACGATAATCAGAGGTACAAATAACAATTTTTATTTAGATGCTGTTCACCTTTCAAAGTCCATCACATTCCTCTGAAAGTAAAATTTAAGGCATTAAACACATACTGTGTTTCAAATGTAAACCTATGCACAGTGTGGTGCAAACACACCCAGTTTTCTAAGTTACAAAAACAGCGCTGGCAGAAGAACCCTCCACTAGCTGACATAAAGCTCAAGAGCATCAGTCAAACTCTGGATATAAAAAGAAAGCAATGAAAAATTCTAGTTCAGTCCACCTTCTAATCAGACACCCTGCATGGAAGTCTATAAAAAGGTTGGCAGGAACTAAATGAATCAAGAGCTGTTTTGAACATAAAAGCTAGGTCTTTGGTATACTTCACAGCACTGAAATGAAACTTTGGTTTGGAGTTCTTTTCAAACCTACATAGTTGCGGTGAAAGGCCAGCTAGAAGAAACCGAACACCTCGGCCTCACACACATTGAGTGACACTTGGCTGAGAAAAGCCACAGGGAGAAGAACATGGTATTGAAGACAAACACCAGCAACACGCTTGCGTGTGAAGCTGCCCGGCCATCGCCTGAAGCCGAAGCAGGGACGGTGTGCAGTACCCTCCGCACAGCCTGCGTCTCTGAGTCTCAGGGTGAGAATGTGCTAAGAAACCGCAGCCGGCTGTTCTTGAGGCAGTCTGGCTGGGTCAGTGCTCCCGGCCGCCAGTGACTTGCCTTTCTGGACTGCAGCTGAGGTCCTCAATTTCCTCAGAAGCCGCGCTTGCACCTGTGTCACGAGATGCAAGTTGGACATCTCCCTCCTCAGCTCCCAGTACGCATGGTGCATGCTATCCCTGGAATGGAATTTTGAAGACACGTTACATTGGTCCTTTTTTATGTGTAAAGGGGAATAACTTTACAATACAAGTAAGCAGGTTTATATTTACATTGTTTTATGACAATATAAACAAAACTAAAAAATGTTTAATTGGACTGTTGTAAGTGAAAAACATCTAGAGATAACATGGCCCCGATTTCAGTAATACTATAATAAACATATCATGACAAACACTCTAACCAGTGAGTTTCTTACTGGCTCTTAGAACCAAGGATTTATTTTAGCCAGTAATATTCAGTGCTGTTAATTAGTAACCAGTAAGGAACATGTTCTTCCTTTGTCACTGATCAAGAATAAAATTGCATTCATTCATGTATGGTCTTTGAGTCTGTCTTTATCTTTGGATTGTTTTGACACTGTGAAATGAAGTGATGAGTAGATACCCAAGACCACATTAAGACAAAGTTGAGGTTTCATGCATTACATTCTTTATGTCTGACTGGGCTGTCTCATACTGTTGGCTCTAAACCAATGTGACATGACAGCACAAGACATGAGTAGGCACATGATTTCCTTATATAACGAAGCAGCAGCTAGAGAAGCAGATTACTGGAAACAAAACTTCAAAATGCCTTTCCATAGTTTTATAATTAAAAGGATTTTTACCTCAGAATTTGAAACTGTTTATATCTAATTTTAAAAGCTTTTATTTTCCATTAAATCCTCTTAGGCTCATGATTTTCTTTAGTTTCTTAACTGCCAACTAAACGAACTGAAATCTTCAGCACACTCTCTTGTTTTCCTGCACAGTGATAAATGAATTAGCCAATGTAAGAACTGACTTCATAATATTAGAACAACCACTATTACAGGTTTGAGAATGTAAGTGCTATGGAAATAAAACCAAACAAACATGCTACCGCATCCTTATTTTTTTTTCTAACAAACAACTTAAACTTTAAAGGGTTAACCTTGAAATCTGAATCTAGTATCTAATGACAGAAGCAATAGATACTTAAGGACAATTAGGTTAAACTGTGAGGTGAAATGTTATCTCTTTTGACAGAGTATTTCTACCTTACTTGTACTGCAATTCTTGTATTATAAACAGTATAGCAAACTGTAGTGCTTTGAAGAAAAATCTAGTATTTTAAATATCATTGGTTAACCTTTGTTATATTTAACCAGCTCTACTTCAGAACCAGTAAACACTGGAGATGCTTTTTATAATGACTGCTTCATAACAAATTCCATCTTCCAGGCGAGGGAAACTACCAGTTCCGTGTACAATTCTGGGCATTTGATGTTTTTCAGAGTCACTCAAATTATAAAGCAGCAAGTTAAGCACTGTACATGTGCTAATTCAGGCACACAGGCATGAATATAGTATAAAAATAATTATTGTTATAAGATGGTGATTCTGTACCTGTCTTAAAAAAATATTCATGATGATACTTGGATACTCAAACACCAAGTACATGCCAAGTAAAAGGCGATTATAAAGGTGTTAGTACCAATATCTAAAGTACATTTTAAAAATTCAATTTAATGAAGACTGTTTAAAAATCAGGTTAAGACGAAACTTCATCACTAAAATTACCTTTTTTGTGCTTTGCTCTTAGTATCACCTACACTAAAACTACACATTAAAAAGAGTAGCTCAAGAGTGCTTACTGCTCTCCCTGAGAACCAGGGTTCAGCTCCTAGCATCCAACTGCCTGTAACTCGTTCCAGGAACCCAGCGCCCTCCTCTGGCTTTCACAGGCTCCTGCACACCCATAGTCCTCATGAACTCACCCAACCTCACACATAAAAAGGTCTGTTTTAAAACCCTAAGATGATGGGTTGGCAAGTGACCTGAGTTTAACTCCTGCAATCAAGGTAAAAGGAAACTGAGAACTGTACTGAGTTATCTCTGACCTCCACACTGCCACCCCAATATCTAAGGTTACTACTAGTTACAACTCTTCCTCTTGTGAATGACAGCATCCAAGTATTGTAATCGTTAAAGCGTGTGAACAGATGTTGAAGCCATTAAGTAAGAATGAAAAAGCAAGTTATCTCTCATTCTTAGCAGGGTTCCAGACAACCCTGATGAACACTGGGTGTTTGATCAAGTGTGTTTGAGGACTGCTTCTGTTTTGCTCTACTTTCTTAAAGAGGCGTAAATCTAACTTGCTTTAAATGACTTAAGAAAAATACATTTCATGTATATAGTTAGTTGCCTCTAAAGAACTTATAGAGCAGTTTCTTGAGTACTTAAATGATAGTTACTCTACTTAAGAGCCCTGAAAAACAAAACATAAGAATAAGGATGGCTGGACTGGAGAGATGGCTCAGAGGGTAAGAGCACTATTTGCTCTTTCAGAGGTCCTTAGTTCAATTCCCAGCAACCAGAAGGTGGCTCACAACCATCTATAATGAGATCTGGTGCGCAATTCTAATGTGCAGACATACTCTGTGTACATAATAAATGAATCTTATAAAAAATGAAGGTTAAGCCTTCATTATGTGCTAGGCACTTAACCGCAGTCTCATACCATCCTGGGAAAATGGCTGTGTGGGCTGTCTATGTCAGCTTGACACAAGGGAGAGTCATTGGAGAGGAGGGAGCCTTATCTGAAAAAACCAAAAATTCCCCCATAAGATTAGGCTGAAGGCAAGCCTGTACATGATGTTCTTAATTAGTGACTGGTATGAGAGGGCCCACACCCCATTATGGGTGCGGTCACCCCTAGGCAGGTGGTCCTGGGTTCTGTAATAATTCAGGCTGGTCAGGCCAATAAAGCAGCACCCCTTCATGGCCTCTGCGCCAGCTGCTGCCTCCAGGATTCTGCTGTTTGAATTCCTGTCCTGGCTTCTTCGATGGTGACCAGTGCTGTGGAAGTGTGAGCCACATAAACCCTTCCCTCCCCAAGTAGCTTTGGTCATGGTGTTTCATTGCAGCAACAGTGACCCTAACTAGGACAGTGGGCAATCTCATTTTGCACATGAGAGAGCAGTTCAGGAGTCAACTCCACTCCACAAGGTTACTTCTTCAAAGCTGTCTACTTGTCTAAGTACTGGTCACAATGCCCTTTTAGGGACCGCATTTTCTTACAGGCATTGTCATACCCACACCAAAGTACCTGTAAAGTGGTTGATAGCCTACACAAATACGCTTAGTCTGACTACAAAACTTTCACTCCTCTGTGTCTGGCATTATAGAACTCATCTGTATCTATTCAAGAAAGCATTATATGTCTTGTTTAGAAAGTACTGTGAAGCTCTGCTCTCTTGACCAACACTATATATATCAACCTTTTTGTAAATGAACACAGCTCATAAAAAAAAAAAAAAAAGAAACTACTAATCTATGATTCCACAAATGATGTAATTTTCTTTAACATTTGAAAATTAACTACATTCCCTAAAAGCAGCAGTTTCAACCTGGGAGTTGTGAGATCAGAAATTTACATTATGATTCATAGCAGTAGAAAAATTATAGTTGTGAAATAGCAACAAAATAATTTCATGGTTAGGGGTCACCACAACACCAGGAGCTATAGAAACATTTGGAAGCATTAAGTATGGTGTTTGTTACAGAATAAAAAGACATTTATTTTGTCAACTGTAATTTCTCTAAAACTGTCTTTCAAATCCTTTTGATAAGTATGGCACAGTGACCTGGTCAAGCCTCTTGGTAGTAACAGTTAAATCATTTTTATACACATATGGTAGCCAGAGATTACAGCCATCACCCAGTGTTTGCTGCGAAACCACATCAGAAAGGTAGGAAGCACACAGGAGACCTGTGGGGAAGGCCCTGATGTGGAGCGTCTTCCTCCCGGCACAGGCTTGGCCTGGCGAGGTCTCTGTCCTGAGGGATGTCATCCTGAGGTGGCCCCTGTCATGTGTTTAACAAAGAAAAAAAGGAATTACTTCACTTTTCTCAGTCCTTCAACATCACACATGCTCCAACATACACAGAATACATTTGTAATTACATAGAGTGTAAGACTCATAGACTTCAGACTCAGCTTCAATGAAATACTGCCACCTACCCCCAAAATGTCTAATCACTTTCAGTTTTGTGGAGTATTCGTGCCTTTCCTTTACAACATAGTCTCATGAGTCTGGAATGCCATAAAACATACGGCAAAAGTGTATTACACCCATTACATTACTGCTTAAGGCATCTGCATGAATTCTATGGAACATGGGCGTTTCTTTGGTATTTCTTACTGCTTTACAAAAAGCCAGCAAAAATTGGCCATGTTACTGCATTAACCACCAAGTCATCCCTTCAACTCCAAGTTTATTTACTTTTGTCTTATGTGCATCGCCTGAACATATGTCTGCATGAGATGTCAGATCCCTGGAACTGGAGCTATAGACAGGTGTGAGCCACTCTGTGGTTGCTGGGAATTGAACCCGGGTCCTCAGAAAGAGTAGCCAGTGCTCTTAATCATAGTTACTGTTTTAAGACAGCATATATTTCCTCGTAAAATGACTGACTTGGCAAGAACTATCCTGTGTACAAATATTTTGGTCTTTAACTGTATAAGCAATTGATTCCAATTTCAGGAAATGCAATTATATCTTTAAAAAACATCATGAACTATAATTTAATAGTGTTCTCATTTAATAAATGCTACTGAGTTCTATTTTATTTTTCATCAAATGCATACGGTTTTAACTCGGAAACCTTGAAAAAATGCCACTTCAGATCTTACTTTGCTTCTCAGTATTGGTTATGGGGTTTTCACTGTATAACCTCCTGCTGTCGGGATTACAGGACTATGAAAGTAGAACAGTATTCCGTTTTTCTCACCATTTCAACATTCCTCCTTATCTCACATAAAACTGTTAAAGGTTTCTTGCCTCTCAGAATTCAGTTTAAACTGATGAAGCTATTAAAAGTTTCTTGTACTTCTAAAACCCTGCTTCTGTGAACTGTTAGCATATGACAGATACAAACTGAAAGCATATTCATTCGCTAGCACCACCTAGTGGAACAGAGTAAGTAAAAAGGACTGCAACCTGACCATACCACCCCCCCCCCACACACACACACAGACATAGCCTTTCTGAATTGCTCTAAACAGAATATATTGAATATATTCTGTCCAGGTGCTATGCTAACCTCTTTATACAATCCCTAGCTTAACGTTTATAAAAAGAGAGGTATTTAATGCTCATAGAAAATAAATTTCCTGAAAATGAAATGAAGTTCCTAATTGCTATATTTAATAAAAAAAACCAATAAGCCAGATTCTCATGAACACATGGTACTGTTTCTCACTTTACAGTGAGTATAAAATATAAGCATACTTTACGCATAAAAGCTATCAAATTATTTCCTTTTGAGAAGGATATACACATAATGATTCCAAGCTTCATATTGCAAATCTTCTCTTGCAAGCCAGCAGCTGATTTAAAAGGGACTTGTTGGTGGCTGTGGTCACTGAGCTTGCACAACAGAATGCTGACGCTTGAACGAATGGTGTGTGTAGCCAAGCACAAGTTTAAAGGTGGACAGTAACGCTTTGTACAATCGAGTAACGGGAACAGAGACCATCTGGGCAGCCGCTGTGCTGCTGCCTTCTTCGACCACATGCAGGCTCCTGGCCCGGCTTCTCGCTCAGTGCAGACGGAATGACTCAGGTGAAAGCAGGGTGCTACAGTACTTACAGGTAGCTCGAGCTCGGCGGGGGTCACTGATAAAAGACCACACTATACAAGTGTGGCAAGTAGCTCCACTTTTAGATGGCAACCCCCAGAGGAACGTGGGCAGGAGTCTTTAGCAGTATGCAAGGCTTTGGTGGGCAAATGGTTGAGCTGATTAAAATACACCCATGTAAAATATTTTGATGCTATTTCTCATACTCCCCAGCTTCATCTGAAAACTTGGCTTTTGTTTGAATCCAGTGGTGAACAGACTCCTAGAGAGGAGCTGAAAGGCAGTTTGTGTGAACGGATGACTTTTGGCTAATCACACTAGGGCAGCAGACTGGGCAGATGTTTTTCTTGTTGATTTTCCTAATTCTTGAATTCTCAAATGTTTTCTGAGTCTTCTGGAAAGAAACAGGCTACGTAAGGCTTCCTTTGTTAGTGGTAATTTTTTTTCTTGTTTTGTTTTTCAAGAATTATGTTATCTCTTATTTCTAAACTAACCAAAGTGTTATGTTAAATAAAATGGAAAAGTTAAAACTAAGTTCTCTTAAAATTTTTCAGACACACTCAAAATCAGAGGCACTCTAAGGAAAGGGAGTTGGAAAAACTGGAATACCCTGTGGTGGTTAGAATGGCTCTTATGTTGAATGCTTGGTCTTCTGTTGGTATTACTGTTTGGGGAGGACTGGGAAGTGGAGCCTTGTGGGAGGAGGTGTGTCACTGAGGGCGATATGGGTGGAATTGGAGGTTTAGCAAGCCCACGGGATTCGATAGCTCTCTCTTTCTCTCTGCCTTGTGCTTGTCAATCAAATGTAAGCTCTCAGCTATTGCTCAAGCACCATGCCTGCCTGTCTATTGCTATGTTCCCAGACATGATGATCACACAGTCAAACCTTCTGGAACCCAGAGTCCCCAAATTAAATGCTATCTTTTATAAACTGCCTTGGTAATGGTGTTTTGTCACAATAATAGAAAAGTAACTACGGCATAGCATAATCAAGTCTTAAAACTATATTCTGGGGTGAGACCGTATAGAGTATATGGAATGTCAGCAGCAATGAACATCCTATGGTTATAATTAATTACAGACCTATGATTTAGTACTTAGTTACAAAACCTATCTGATGCACAAAGTACACGGAGGTTCTCAGTGCGATGACTTTGAAGTACCGTCTGTTTGGCTCTCTGCAGCTCTATTTTGAGGTCGCTGCATTCTTTCCTCATTAGTTCTAGCTCTTGTTCCAAACCATGGATCTTCAAGTCACAGCTTAACTTTTCCACTTCCCAGTTTGATGAGGGTGGATTTAAATTCCTCATTACTAGAAAAAGGACAGACAACAAAATAGTTATCTTTGCTTTTTATACCAATTAAAGTTCCTAGGTGACACTGATACAATGTCGATAAATAACCACTACAAAATACACATGAATACTAAGGCTCAGCATCATGTACTCCATCAAAGGTTGCAATTTGACAGGCAGGTCTAGAATGCATGTCAAAACAATCTCACTCATAAACACCTGACTGTGGAAACTTCATACTACATTATCTCTGACTTAGACCTTCATTTCTCCATCTCCAAAAAGCCCCAACCATTTACCTGGAAAGATCTCAGATTAATTTTCTTCCAAAAGGCCTCTCAATAGGGAATTATTGAAACTGCTTATCTCAGGAGAGTATTGATGGGAATAAGACTATTATCTGTAATTCCCAGACAAACTTTCCATTTCAGAATCTTATCTATACATTTCATCAACTTTCAGAAAGAAGAAAATTTAAGAGATAATGAAGCTACTACTCCACGACAACACGTTTAATTGTGGGCAATAAGGTTAGTATGAATGCCAAGTCAGGAGATACCAGTGGTGAATGTTTTGGGGAAGATGGGGATTTTTTTTTCTCTACTTCATCACACACTATCCTTGAATAAAAACATCACATCTGTAGAAAAAGTACAATTTTCAGCTAGAGAGAAGGTAGTAAGATATTGTGTAAAAAAAGAACAGAAGAAAAAAATTAAGCCTCATTATAGAGATATAGGAAACCGATTATGAGTATAACACACTGACTACTGATTAATTAGAATATTCGTAACAAGTGAGTGGCATACCCTGCTGAGTTTCCACCTCTGTCCTTAGCTGCAGAAGCTCCACTTCTTTAGACTGTAGCTGTTCAGTCAGTGCTTTCAAAGATTCAGTACTGTCTTTATTCTAGTTAAGTAGGGAAAATTACAGTCAATAAAGTCTCTATGTTTGTCTTATATCTTACTTTTAGGTCAATATTAAATAAACCTCATTCTGACTTTCAGAAGCAAGGTTGGAAAATGAACCCTGATTCTCACTAATCTTTTGTTTCTTAGGACATCATTGCTCATTGGAATCAAAACAAAACAAAACAAATCACTCACAGTGAGTAATTCAACCTTGTCACAAGTTTTTAAAAGTAAGGTAGCGGTACTCAGAAGGCTCTAAGTCCTTAACATCATTAAATACCAACTATTTATATCTGTATATTAGTGGAAAATATAGGTATTAAATTTTTCCATATGCCATGAACATATATATTTTGTTTAATTAATAAATGTAAATGTTTAATCTTTTAATTAATTTCTTGCAAGACAAAATAATTTAAATATAAAGTATTATTTTCAAATCAACTTACTATTTTCTCCAATTTGTTCTTCAAATTGTCTCTATCAATGCAAACCTCTCGATAGGCATGATAGGCCTTATTCACTTGTTCTCGCCCCACAGAACTTGCTTCTTCATCTACTCGAGCTCCAACAAGCTAAAAGTATGAGATTAGGATAGAAATCTTCAGTAGGTAGTCTGCAGAATCAAGTAAGTCCATCTTCTGGACTCTACATCTTACTCTAACCTCTGCAATGCAAGGATAAAGTCTACCTTTGCCTATAATCCAGTGAATATTTCACTCCTACACAATCTTCATCAAGAAGCCAAATAGTACAGGGGGGGGGGGAAACAAAACCAGCCATCTATGTTTGCTGCTCCTCAATAATCTGTGTTTTGTACTACCTGCTTTATAATAAACTGAATCACTCGTACAGTATTTTGTCTTGGAAGTGTCTAGGTATTTTCCAAGTCTACAGAATCTTGTTTCTATCAGAGAAGTATCAAATCAGACTCAACTTCTTAAGAAATAGGCATACTACTTCATTAAGCCCTACATTATCCCAGCAATTGAAATTAATAGGATCGATGATAATAAAGTACAGGTTTTCTATGGTAACTATGCACTAGATTCCATGACTCTATTGAATTTTACACTCATAACTATTAGTTGTAAAGTTACCTTTGGTAATTTACCTCAGAATATAAATATACTTAATTACTAAGTTAAAATTAATGAAAAGAAATTATGGTAACACTAATAAATAACCTCCTTGTTTTACCACCTTATCCTCAAGTTTTTAAATGCAGAGAAATTTATCTTTTAGCATTTGTGGAAGCTCCTGTGTTTGTAAGATACAAATACAATTCTGATTATAGAAATATAAACTAATTAAAAGCTTTAAATGCCATTAAAAAAAGGGCAACCAAGAAAAATTCCAACATATAAAATCAAGTCAAGTCTGATGATTTAGACTGCATTTTAGCTACCTCATATAATATTCAGAAATGTAACACTCAGCATGGAAAAGTCCTTGTCACTGTCATCTCAAAGGGTCATTCCTACTTTCTGAGGAAATCAAAGGATCCTGGTGAAGAGCCCGCTGAACAGAGTGAAGCACTGAATGGCAGAAAAGGTCCCCTTTGAGTTTCATTTACTAGTATTTTATTATTCTGTACAGACTTGACTACATTACAGACATATATTGGGGCTATGTGACAGCTCAGCTGGTAAACTGCTTGCTGCATGAGCGTGAGGACTTGAGCCCAATCCTTACATTAAAAAACCAGGTGTGGTGGTTTGTTTCTGTAACCCCAGTAACAGAGAGATAGGGACTGGAACCCCAGTAACAGAGAGATAGGGACTGGAAGATCCCCTGAGGCTTCCTAGCCACACAGCCTGACTGATTAGTAACCCTTCTGACTTAGATTCTGTCTCAAAGCAAAGGCGAACAGCACCTGGCCTTCAAATACATGTAGGTACACACACGTGCACTACACGCATGCACATGGACACACACAAATAAAAACTGGCACCAATACATAGCAATGAGAGTAGGCAATCTGAAAAAAAGGAAAAGAAAATGCTGGAACAGAAACCCTTTAAGTAGTGAAATCCTATTCTGTAATATACCAAGCGCATGGTATAGCTGATGCAGCACTTTAAGTCTTGGAAGACAGATTAGAAAATATTTTAAATATCAAATATGTGGAATTATTCTTTATGCCAAACACAATCAAAAGAGAAAATTAAAAAAAAAAAAAAAATCACCTTTTCTTCCAAAGCCCTTATTCTTTTCTTTAAGAAAGAGTTTTCTTTCTCTGAATCTTTAAGTCTCTTCTTGATGTCTTCATATGCAGTTACAAGGGCAAAATGTGAAGCAACAGATTCATCTCCTGAGTATACAGATAGTGGAGTTACTGTCTCTCTTCTGTGGGCTTTCTCATGATTCAGAATGCAGATGTCATCTTCGACTAGTGTGTCCATGGCAGCTATGGAGATGAGAAAGTAGGATGGTCACACACGGTCAATGAGCAGAAAAGAAAAGACGTATTTACAATGTGAATACTGGAAATATTCTTTCAGAAGCAACATAGGATAAGTTTTAGCCCAGCTACCCAGATACTAGTCCAAGGTTCAGGGCCATGTGACTCAGTGGGTAAGTTGTTAAGGCTCAGGAAATATTAGTAACCACTTTTATAGTGAAAGGATGGAAAAGGATTATAGATAGAGCACTGAGATCCATTGCTATTAAGTTGTCTGAAAGTGAAATTAAGACTGGGAATATGGTTCAGCAGCACAGCATCTGCCAAGCATGATCAGGTCCTGAGCTGGCTCTCTAGCCAAATAAGGCAAAACGGTAAAATACTATTTTACTAGAACAACACTATACATACACATATATGTAATAAATCACATATACTATATAGTATAACGTGTGTGTGTGTGTGTGTTGCAATGCAGTCCACTTTTAGGGGAGGTGAAAACAGCACCCACACCATCGGACTTAAATAATAATCCTATCTAAATGGATAGAATTTATTGAATTTGAGTATCTTCAAAAACCAAACACTAATAAAGTGCTCTATAAAGGCAAGAAATACTTTTAAAGACCTGAGCTTTTTGCATTTTTGTTTTAAACAAAGTTCTAAATAATTCAATTGTAATTTCTGTATTCATATTTACCAGTAATCATTTTCTAAGCAGAAATAAAAAATAAAACTGCCATAACCCAGTGTGGGAGACAGGTGTACAGAAGAACTGTTATACTGTAATATAGCTGGAACAATACAAAATGCTATGGAGCCAGAGGAATGGGAGGCATGGTTTTCAAAGATGGTACCAAAATGACATCAGTTCACTCCTGTAAGTGAACAAGTCACTCTGACTAACTTCTAGCAGGTGAACGACTCCAAAGGCATGACAAGCGTGGGGAGGGAGGAGCTGAAAGGGCAGTGACAGGAGACGGAGACACAAACAGAGAACCAATGAGATGACCCTGTATGATGGAGAGGGTGTCAATTCTGGCCCTTATTCGATAAGATCTTTGTCAGCCCAGACATGACACCTGCACTTACTAAGAGTATTCAGACTGTCATGGTGGAGATGTTGGGTTGTTTAGAGGGCAGCATTACGGAAGGTCCTCAGGTCATACAGGCATGTCTTCAAAGGAGACTCTTGAACTACAGTCAAGTCCTCTACCCCTCTTCCCTACCTTGTGATGGGAGTTACTCCTAAGTAACCTGCCATGATGGGTCGCTTATACAGAGACCCAAAGACAAGGAACCCACCCATCTGAAGAGTTAAGTTCCAAAACTGTGTGATGGGAGATGTCATTCTGTATATATGTTTCTCATACTGGTTAATGAATAAAGCACTGTTGGCCAATAGGAAAGCAAGATAGGAGGGACTAGGAGACAAGGAGGAAAGAGGAAGTAGGAAGGAGAGTCAAGATGGAGAGACTGGGGAGACGAGACGCTGGCCCCTTTCCCTGGTAAGAAGACCACATGGAAATACATAGAAATGGGTTAATAATTAAGACAGAGCTAGTCGATAAGAAACTAGTACCTGGCCAACAGAATTATATCTAATACAGAGTCTCTGTGTGTTATTTGGGGCTGGTGCAGCGGCGGGACAAGACCAGGCGGCGGGCAGGAAAAATCATACTCCTTACAACTGTGACCTAAAAGGAGTTTCCTTTCCTTCGTAAGAGCCTGTCCACATGTGTTTCACACTAGCAACACAAAACCTATTCATATAACTACTAATCAACTACTTGGCTTTGTGCTGTTTAGAAACATCCACTTTAATTCTCATGGCTCCCTACGAGGTGTGAAGTCTTATTACAGCCTCTGAACAAACCAGCCCAGGTCAGGTTAGTGCTCAGCAGATGCTGTCTGGTTTAGAGCAGAGTTACTAAGAGTCTTCCCTCCACAATGAACCTTTTTCTTTTCTTTTTTGGAGAATGCCTTAGAAAATAGCTGGGGTAGCTGGCATCAGTAATCACCGCACTCGGAAGGCTGAGCCAGGACTACTTCTAGTTCAAGTTTGCCTGGGAGTGAGCTCTAGGCAGTCTTGGGCTAGCTACAGTATGGAACCCTGTGATACATGTCTTTACAAAACCAGCCAGCTGGCTTAGAAGTTTGATGTTTCTGGGTAATTGTCACTAAATTTAAATACATCAAGCTAACGCTAACATGTAACATTTTAAGAACTTGTTTGTACTACTCTTCTTTACTATAATTTAAAAAGACTTATATACCAATAATCTTTAAAAATTGAGTGTCAAGAATAGACAAATACAGTCCCTGGCCTGCTGTTGCTGAAGCTCGGGGGTAGAACATTTATCTAGCATATAGAAGGCCCTGGGTCACCCCCACCCACAAGATTAACTGAAAGCCAAACGGTGTTTTAATTACTCCCTTGCAAGGGAACTAATATTCACTTTCAGAACTTAATCACTATACACATACTCTCCAAAAAACAAGCTGAAGTGGGTTCCTCTCAATCGTAAAAGCAGTAATGTATTCCAGAGAATGCTGTAAATAAGAGCAAGGGATTGGTAGAAGGGGCCTAACCCAGAGATGCTGTAAACAAGAGCAAGGGGATGGTAGAAGCTGCCTAACCCAGTGTTGGGCAGTGAGGCGGAGACCATTACCTAGAACCGCTTGTAGTTTTGTTACAAAATGCTGGCTACTTGGTTTTACTGTAAATCCATGTAAATCAATTACCTGTGCTAAAAATTTCAAGTTGCACTCTACAGTGAGCATTCCAGGTTATTTTTAGTCCTATAGCTATTTGAGAGCTTTTTCAAGATACAAAACAACTGTAACTAGTGTTCTTGACCATCTACAGGCAAGGTGAGTTTTATGTTATCAATTGGTGACCCACTTATCTTTTGAATGAAGGAGGTGACAGTACAGGAAGTATTTCAACTGTATCATCTCATCATGAAAGTACTTCGGAGTCAGGTGAACATTTAAATGCTACAAAGTAGTTGTATAGACAAATATTCCATACGTTTGACAATGTCATGCCTTGGAGGATAGATTAAGAGAATACATTAGGAGTATAAATTAAATATAAAGTAAAACAGAAATAGGAAGGATTAAGGTAAATTATGCTGCCATTACTGCTGAAAGAAGTAAAATTCCAGGAATGATAAGGGAGCAGTCTGTTGAATGAAGTTGAAGAGTGTCTATGACAAATGGAGAGACAAATCTAGAAAAAGAGGTTCAAGCATTATTAATCAAAATTATTTTGAAGATGATAAATTTCCATCTTCACTAAAGTCAATACTGAGAGAGGACCTCTTTCAGGTTATATATACTGGGACTAGAAAATAAATACCTTCTAACACGAGATTGTTCTTTTTTTCTAGGAATTCATGATTATCCTGCCATTTTCAATACTAGAATACCTGCCATTTAGATCATTTGTCAAGTGTCAATCACTAATGCTTATACATGCACTTAGCCAGGTACTGTTAACCCAACTTATAAAACTTAAAGAACAAATCAGAGGCAAAGAACCCAGATAAGCTATCCTCTAAATCTAGGGGTTATTTCTTTTAAATTCAGACATATATACACAATGAAATATGATCTACCCATATTTCTCCTCCAATTCTCTCCATAGCCTCAACATACCCACACTTAAGCCTTATTTATTTATTTATTTTGGATAACCCATCTGGTACAATTGTGCTGCCTCCATGTGCACATGTGGGGGTCATTCACTACGGATCTCTAGTATGCATCTCTCCAGTGGATGCTGGCCACTGTGAAAACAAACTTCTCTGATCAAGGTCGAGACCAGCCCAGATCTGCCCATGCCAGCAGCTGGGAAGATAAGGGTGGGAGATGGGTCAGGTCAAATCTAGGTTCATAAAACACTCTGAATGTTGTGATTGTAATTTTCCCCAGTAAGAATCTAGACAAGGTAGAACTCTATGGTACACTGGCCTAAGATTCAGAAACTCAAATTCTAGTCTATGATCTGTCACTCTGATTATATACTAGTTCATTTCATTTCTCTCGATCTCAATTTTCATACCTATACATGGCAGAGTTGGATTGTATCATTAAGATACCACCTCCTTATATTGTGAAGGTAAAATTTTAATTCAAATACAGAATGGGAACCAAAACAGATTAAAATAAATAAATAAATAAATAAATATATAAATACCTCACAGTTGTGCCAGAAACTTGCTGGTAAGTTAAAACATACCTACACTAAACTTGGCAAGAAAAACTACAAACACCACAGTTGAAACCGAGGTATAGAAGGATTAAGTACCTGTGGCATTGTGCATTACCCTCTGAATGAATACTGTTTAGGATTTCCATCAGCTTTCTAGCTCTGAAAAGTTAGGATACTTGAGAAGCCACTTCATATAGGTCAGTTAAACAGTGGGCAAAAATAATGAAGTCTTATGTAAGAGAACCAGGAAGTAAGTTACTCCTTTTCTCAAATAATCAGGGGCAGGAATGGCTTCTGTTTCTTTAAAAGGGATTCTCAAGTGCCCCTTTTAAAAAGATGCCAACACTTTATGTACCTTAGCACCCACCCATATGTTCTGTAATTTATTAAGTGTCCGAAAGTTTAAGCACTATCAGATATGTAATACTGAAAATTATATTTTAGTTTTTATGATCCTGACTCACCGACTGAAGTCTAGAGGTCAGTTTCTAAGGCTAAGGAATCTTAAGACTAAAGTATAGCATGTATCTCGATGCAACCAAACACCTACATTAAATATCGATGTTTTCTAACAGTGAAACATAACTTCAATTCAGGTAAGTGCCACTAAAGTTAGGTTGGCCCCATTCAGAGACATTGTTAAAAGCTGTACTAGTTCACTCAGTGAGCATGACAAAGATCTGTGTTAGCATTCATGAAACCCTGCTGGCACAGGCAGTTACACCTGTGCTTCACCGTACGTATCCTTGACCAGGTCTCCCTGTGTGGTGGCTGGCCTGGAACTCAGGAGTAAGCCTGCTTGTTTCCCTAGTGTTGGGATTATTTTAGCCAAGTGCCACCACACCCAAAGTGCTCTTCATCTTTTAATGAACTAGGTAATTCTTAAGAACTTATACTTCTTAAGAATTCTTTCAGTCATTGTAAAAACACTAAGACGGGTAAGCACATCTCAATCTACAGACTAAGCTATTAAACATGCCAACAGGCTGCCGACTTCGGAGCGGACACAGCTCTTAGAAACTGTGTCTGCAAAGTGAGCACTGTAGTTCAGAAAAATGGGAAGGGGACTCAAGCATAGGAGGCTTAACCTTTTCCTCGTGTTAAGTGAACAGGTGGAAAACTCACTGCTTGCCTCCCAGAGCTTTTGATCTAATCCCCAGCTGTTTCCCACGACAGCATGCCGGCTCTTAGACATTAAACTCTTATATTTGTATGAAAAACGATCATTTACACACCTTAGAGCATTCAGTATTTTGTAGCCCCATCCAGGGAATAATCCCAGCTATTCCCAATTTAAGAAGATGGAGTGGTCACCACGGACCGGATAACGAGAACCTATTTTGGAGAACTAGAAATGAGAACTGCATTAAGATCTTATTCAATCCAACTTAAACTCAAAACGCCTTCTGTATTTAAAGAGTAGAGGTCAACCCCTGTACGTCAACGTTTTTGATCACCACATTATTTTGTTCCGAGCAATTTTATGTTCTGATTTCTGGTGGCTTCCATGGGCATTTTATTTTATCCCTTCCTTTGAGAGTACCGAGTTCCCTGTGAGGAGGACCAGAGTGTTAAGCCTACCTTGTAACAGAGCCGAAAAACGGGACCGAAGCACACAAATTATACTGCCCAGACGCCACGGGCACTACCCACGTCCCTGTCTTCCTTTCCGACATAAAAGCCACCTCAGTGCAGGAAATAAAACTGAAAGCATTCCCAGTCGGTCAGAGCACGGGCAGAAATTGAGCAATCCGGGAGCAGCGAGGGCTAAGGGCGAGCCTGCGGCGGCGGCGGCGCGGGTCGCGGGGATGGCACGGGCGGCGGATGCTACAGCGGGCCGCCGCGGGGCGCCGGGGACGGAGGGACGGACGACGTGTGTCTGGCCAGGGGACAGCCCTCCCTTCCCCCGGGCGGATCGCGGCCGCCTGCACCGCCCCGGCGAGCGCGAGCGATCCACTCACCCCGAGCCCTGGCTGCGCAGCGCCGCCCCCAAGGCCACCGGGTTTCGCTTCCCCAGAGTCTGGAAGCCGACCGAAAACAAACCGGGTCGCCAGGGGTCACCACGGGCTTCCGGTTTCCTCGAAGACACCGCCGCTTCCCCCGATCGGGTGGCGGCCGCAGGCGCACCGAGGGAGTCCCATGTCTCCGGCCGCGGCTCCCTCCCGCGCCGGCCCCGGAGGCCGCAGACGAGCCGGGCAGGGGCGGCCCGTTTCCCAGCAGCACGCGCGCCTGCTCCGGCCCGGGGCCGCTGGCGCCCGCTGCCCTCCCGGAGCGGAGCGGCGAGGCCGAGAGGGTTCTAGAAAGCTCCACGCACCGGGCGCGTGCGGCCTGCGCTGTGGCCCACCAGGGTGTCGCGGCAGCACACGGGCCGTGCGCCAGCGCAGCGCAGCGCAGCGCAGCGCAGCGCGACGAAACCGGAAGCGGGACCTGAAGGCTCCGGCGGGGAAGGGCGCTCTGGCGGGGAAGGGCGGGGCGCACTACATGTCCCGTGAGCCACTGCGGCGAGCGGGCGGGCGCGCACTACGAGTCCCAGTGGTCTCCGCGGCAGGCGGCAGGCGGCAGGCGAGGGGTGAGGCGTCGCTCCGGGCCGGCCGCGGGGAGGCGGAGTGGAGCTGAGTTGGCGTCGCAGGCCGGCTGCTGTGGGCCCGAAGCCCGCGTTCAGGGCGCCCTCTAGCGCGTCCTTTCCACGCAGCGCCCGCCCGGGTTCTGGAAGGTGGGTCGCTGCCGCTCAGCTTGGCGGCGCAGGGCTTGGTGGCTGCTAACCTGAGAGCGCACGCGCGCCTCGGGGACCCGGGGACCCACGCAGGCCCCGGGGCTCGGGTCGCGGGGCCATCTCCCCGGGTGTCCTTTGAAGCAAGGTCGCCGTGTGTTTCCCAAGCGCCCCTCCCTGGCTCAGTTGGGGTCCCCGGATGCTCTTCAGTATATGTTGTAGGAGAAGAGGGGACCTTGGCCAACTTTTGGCTCGTCCCCGCGTCCTCAGGGTTGTCCCCCGCCCTTGGTTGTTTCTGGGTGATGATCCGTCCTTTCTGCTGAGACACGGTCTCATGCACCCCAGGATGGCGACAGACACTCTCCCCAGAGCCAGGTGAACAGTGCGCATCTGTGATTCTCTCTGTGTATTGCTGACTAAATCGTTCCCTTCTGGGAGTAGGTGGGGGGGGGGGCAGCCTCTCAAGTAGCCCAGGCTGGCCCCAAACCCTTGAATTGCTTGTCCTCCTGCTTCCATCTCCCGGGTGCTGGCTTTAATACGCTTTGCCAAACTCTGTGACACAGGGCTAGCGAGTGAACACAAGCTCTTGTGCGTGCCGAGCAAGCATTCCGTCTCCTTGCCTCTCTTGAAGACACTGAATTAATTGTATGGTTAGGTATAGATGGATTGACTACAGTCTTAGGGGGTCGCAGACAGAAGAAAGCCCACAGGCTCGAGATTATTTCTGGTTAGATGTGAGAGTTAATGTTCACTTACTGCCAACCAGGAAAGCTCGTGTTTCTTGGTACACTCTTAAATACTGTTTTGTCAACTGAAACCTTAAACTTTGTCAGTGTTCTGTAGGAAGGTCTTTCAGCGTACAATGTTGCCTCTGGGTGGGTACCCTTTACACTGGAGTAGATTTGGATTTGAACAAACAAAAGATATGGACCTGGCATAACGTGAGTGTGGCTCAGCTCTCTTTGGGGCAAATATTTATTTTTTAGGATCACTACAAGTACTATTTTGATTAACTAGCTTGTTTGAGCAATGAAAAAGCTTTTAAAGCATCATTGTTTTCAATGTGTGTGGATGGTGCTTCACCTGCATGTATGTGTATGTTTATACAGTGTTCACGGAGGCCACAAGAGGGTGCTGTATCACTGGGGTAAGGAGTTTGCAGAAGTTGTGAGCCTCCCTGTAGATGCTGAGATTTGAACCTAAGTCCTTGGGAAGAGCAGGAAGTGTTCTTAATCACTGGGCCTTCTCTCTAGCCCTAACCTTTTAATTTCCATTTTTTAATTGGAAATTTAATTTCTTCCGTGAAGAATACTTTATATGAATTAGTAACAGCACATGTTTAGAGAAATAAAATTTTAAGTGGGTTTCTAATTGTAAATTGTATACTGAAATTTCATCATTCTACTCCCTGGATCATATTTTCTGTGATTTATTCTTTTTTCTGAATACTGCATTCTTTGTAGACCTTGTTAGATGTGATTCATAAATGTCAGCTGAACAGAATTAAGGTGTCAAAATTGCTGAGTTAAGTCTTCATGTTAATACCATCTTCAATGTCATGTTACAATGTGGTTTCAGAAGCATTCTCTCTACATGTCTTATGTACAGGCTAAGTTCTTTAGGAAGGGAATGACTTTAATAAAAATATCAAATATTTAAAAACAGTTTTAAAAATACTGCCAAAAGCAGAAAACTTGGTACATGAGAAAACTTGTATGAGTTATTTTCTCACTGCTGTAGCAAAGAAATCTTTGCCAAAAGCAGTTTAAGGAAGGAAGGATTTCTTTTAGCTCACAGTTTAAGGTAGAGTGCATCATGGTAGGGAAGGCATGGAGACAGATGACTGATCACATTGTGGCCACAGTCAGGAAGCAGAGGAGGAGGAATGCTACTTTTGCCATTTTTATTCAGCCTGGAGCCCCAGCACATTGAATGGTGTTACCCACATTTAGGATAGGTCCTCCTTACTTGTTTGACCCCATCTAGAAAACCCTCACAGACATGTCCTGCAGAGGGCCATGGGACTGTACAACAGTGAAAGCTAGTATTTAACAAGTTCTCCTTTTATCCAAAAGAGGTTTGTTTCCATGGTGATTTGAAATCCCATTAAGATGACAATTGATTAACCAACACATCCCTTGACAACTTGACAAACATATCACTTTCAATCATAACATTCTGCTGTCCCTGTCCCTTAGTGTTTCATTTCCATAATGAGACATACACTTATTCTACCTTCCAAGGTCTCCATGGTTTTTTAACAGTTCCAACATTGTTCAAAAGTGTAAGGTCAGAGTCTCTTCTGGAACCAAATCATTTAACTCTAATGTCTACTCCCATTTGCATTAAAAACAAACAAACAAAAAACAAAACAAAACAACTTTATATCCAATATACAGTAGCACAGAATAAATAGCTCCATTCCAAAAGGGAGCGATGGGGGGAAGGTATAATAAGGAAAAGTCACACTAAAAATCAAAACACAGGATGATAAACGCCAAACCCTTCAGGGCCATGTCTGACATCTGGGTCTGGTGATGGGATCACCTGTGTTCCAAAAGGGCTTAAGTAGCCCCAGCCAACTTCGCTGGCTGTAGCAATATAGCTTTTCTCTTGGGCCACCTCTGCTTTGTAATGGCAACGTTCCTCAACAGACACCACCAGCCTTTCTAACAATTATACAACTTTGGGTCTCCATTGTAATTCAGGGTTTAGCTTCAGGCTGTGGCCAGAGGTTCTCTGAAATGTCCCCCTTAACCTTGCATCTTTTATGCCTGCCAAACCACAACACAGACAATTTCTGCTGCCAATTGAAAATGTAATATGACTTCTTGAATTACAGTTACAACAGCCTCTGTCTGCATTGTTGTAGGTAGACTTTTCTGTCTGGCCAGCCAATCCCAAATAACCACACAGACCGTAAAGATTAGTTATAAATGCTTGATCGACAGCTTAGGCTTGTTTTTAGCCAGCTCTTATAACTTAAACATTTCTCTTCATCTGTGTGCTGTCCTGAGGCTTGTTTGCCTCTCTGCGCACTTCCCAATCTGCTTGCTCTGCACCTCATGGCGTCTCCTCCTGACCCCCGACTTCGCCCTTCTCCCCAGCATTCTCTCTGCCCCCAAATCCTGTCTAGCCATTGGCCAATCAGCTTTTTTAAACAATGAGAGCAACAATGCCTTCATAGTGTACAGAAGGGTTATTCCACAGTATAGTGCTGTGACAGAATGCCCGACAAAAGTTTATTTAAGATTTTAGCTCACAGTCTGAAGGTATCATGTCAAGAAAGTCATGGCAGTGGTAGCTCGAGGCAGCTGTTCAATTTCATTCAGAACAGGAAGCAAGGAGAGCTGAAATCACGTGGGGTCAAGGATTCTCACCTATGGTACCAAACTTCGTTGGCCTTCCCTCCTCAGTTAACCCAGTCTGGAAGGTCCCTGGCCAGACACCTGTTTCCATGGGGTTCTAACCCCACCAAGCTGGCATCAGCTTAGTGTCTCAAGGCTTCGAGGCCAGTCTGGGCTGCACAGGAGCTCCAGCCTGCCCTCACTGTGACACACAGCTCAACACAACACAACAGAACACAACACAAAGTTAAAAGTGGAACTAGCACATGGTAAGTACCCCTGGGTCAGGGTGTTTTCTTTCCCCCCCAAAGACTGAACTTGGGATCAGGAAGAAGTATGCTAATTTCATTGTTGTTCTAGCTAAGACGTGCAAACACTCTCACGGTCTGCCAACAGTGACCGGACAGTGGAGATGTGCAATTCAGACAGTGTCATATTGTCTAGTCCCATTAAAGGAAACCCTGTCATTTGCAACAACATGGGTGAAAATTAGAACATTATGTTATTTAAAGTAAACTAGGTACTGAAAGACAAAAAACTACATGCTTTCATTTATATGAGTTCAAAACAACCCCTCAATGGCAGCTTTCCCATACACATCTATAGGATACAGATGGAGTTACTAATATATGAATTGGCATTAAGTATGGCTTATGATATTTCTATGATTATTTTCTCTGTTTTATTAGTTTTTACTTTTCATTGGAAAAAATTTAAAAATTCATTTTTAATAGTATGAATGTGTGCATGTAGACATGTGCGGCTGAGTATGAGTGCCTACGGAGGCCAGAAGAGGTATTCTGACTATGTGGATCTGGAGTTAGAGGTGGTTGTGAGCTGTCCAGTGTGGGTGCTGGGAACTGAATTCCAGTCCTCTGCAAAAGCAATGCATGCCCTTAGCCACTGAGCCGTCTCCCTAGCCCCTGCTTGAAGGCTTCTAAAGCAATAGAATAAACCTAGCCTTTAATCATGCCAATGAATTTTAGTTCCTTGCCACTTTGGTTTCTCAAACAGAATGAAATCCACCCAGTGATCTTCCCTATTGAACAAGAT